CTCTACAACCCCTGAGCAGCACCACTTATACCCCTTTCAAGCCCACCCGCAAACACGATCGGCGTGCGACCCGCCGACACCACCGCGTCCCACCCCACCGCGTACACGGGTTAAACGCATCGCCCCTGAACAGTGACCGTTTCCCTACGTTAACACTGTCCTGGGGCGTGATCTATTGCCACATATGGTCCACACCGTACACAGGCCAATCACATGAAACCGGTCGGGATAGTTCCTGTCCCTTATATCCTGATTGCCGAACCAATACCGAAGCCCGCCCTTCTACCCGCCCAACTAGATCGTCACAGTTGGACATATCCAAATCCTGTTTTGTCCGGCTAAAAATCGTGCAGGACGCCCGGCATGGTTTGGGTCGCCTTGGTTACCACCGCGGCCGCTGTCTGGGTCGTTTCAGCATGATGCCATCGTACACGGTCTCACCCGCGCTGAGCCGACGTCCGTCCCAGCTGTCTCATCGCATAGGCGTCAGTGTGGCGACTGTTAGCCGTCCGAGGAGCGCCTTCTCGCCGCTGGAGGGCAGCTGCCGTTTACTGGAGCGAATGCGTTCGGGGTCAAGGTCCCGCTGAACCATGGAGCCCCGCCAGGACTTCCCACCGGTCGATACGCTGGGCTTCGCCCGCAAAAGCTAATTGGCACGGAACAATGCCAGGCGCGTCACTCACAAGCGCGCGCAAAGGGCGCGGGAATGACCCAACTGTGGGACGGCCAAACCCGTGCGCTCGGTCTGTTTCTTCCTACGCATCACAAAAAGGCTCTTGTCAAGTGTAATAAAAAAGGAGGGCCATGCCTCCCGCCCTCTTCCCCCAAACATCTACCAGAACTGGTTGTCCCCGTTAAGTCAAGGATGCTGCGATTCATTTGGCGAGTTGTTCGACAGTCCCTGACGACTGAGCCGCGGCGTAGCGCCGCTTCCAAACCGGGTCACATTACAGCTCTGCTGAACCCCAGCACATAACATCGACTGGACGCTTTACGTATTCGGCTGCTCTTGCCCCAGTCACCGACTGTCGCCGGAAGTTATCGACAGCATGACCAGCCCGACCTAAGGCTGCGGCCAGCACCGTGACACAGATGCGGCGACATCCTACTGGCGAGCCAGTTACGCGTCGCAAACCGCACCGGCTCATATGAGGCAGTTGTCCACACTACAGGATCGGCAGTTGCCAGGGCTTTTGTTTAGTCGCGTTTTGAGAGCGGGAACAGACATGTTGTCTTATCACTTTCCTGTCCCAGCCATCCAGGAGACGCGGAACAGTCCAGTCAGCTTCCCCGAACGACAGCACGAGGGCGCGTGACCTCCGGCCCACAATAACCCACACCCCCGCCATTACGATTTCCTGTTTTTCCCCTCCGTTCACATCCGTTGACGTCGCGTCGCAGCGACACCGGGTCGGTCAGATCCAGGCCCGGCTTCGATCCATGTTCTTGACATTTTTGCGAGTTGGAAATTTCAGTGTTTCCACGTTTAATCAAATGTGGGAAGAGGTATCAGTGATATTGCGCTGCTGCAGAAAAAGCCTGGGCTATGAAACAGGTAACATGTCCGTGCCTTTAAACGTTTACACAGGTGTCGTAGAATTACACAGCCTTTACAGAGCTTGCGCTTTAAATGCCTAAAAGCTCGATGTGGCTAACGCGCCTGCGTAACCGCTACGCGCCTGGGAAACCAAAGGTCCGGGGTTCGATTCCCCGTGGTGCCCGTCCTTCCTGCCAGGATGGAAGGCAGGCGACGTCATATAGCCTCACAGCTGAGTGCGTCGTAAAGCCCCAATGACGATGGCCTTGAAAGAGCGGTGCCTATGCCGGTTCGCCCGAGTTAAAAAGATGTGCGCATCTCAAGTGGAGCTCGCTTGGACTGCGGCCTCGCACGTGGGCACAGCCAGCGTTACCAGCAGTCCTCGCGGTCACGAGTGACTGAGCTCTGCTGACAAGGTCAACTATTCTCGTAATACATTTCAGTGATTGTCCAATGCGGTCGTTTGACCGAACTCAAAACACCGAAGGAAAAAGGATCTTACAAAACAGGCTTTCTTTGATAACAAGGGGTTCCCAAGTATACACTGCTGTCTTCAGGCAAAAAGGCCTAAGTGTTATGCAAACCAATGGCTCTTAGACCTTTTTACCTTTGGACGGCAGTCCACAGAACTTCAACATCAGTCAGCGCACACCACATGAGTACAAGCCCGCTTACGGCCGGGTCAACGCAGCCGGCGCGGCTCCACTGACCTCGACCGGGGGTCCGTGGGGCCGGTCGACGTCCAGGCGCGGCAGCTGGCGCGCGTCGAGCGGCGTCCACGGCACCGGCGGCGGCGGCAGGCCGATCGCCATGACGACTTGCTGCGGCCGACACGGGGTGCGACGTCAGAGCCAGAGTAGGGTGAATGTCAGGCGGTACGGGGTCAGAGCACAGAGTAGAGCGAACAGCAGATCCGCCGCGGTGTCACCGACGGCGCCGGACAACGCACGGCCGGCGGCGCGGCGATAAAAAGCAGGGTTCACGGCGGACTACTGTCGATCTTATCATGCAGCCAACTCAGTGCTACCAAAGCTCGTACCATCAGTCCCCCGGGCTGTGGGCGAGTGTCGAGCGAGCGGCTCAAAAACGGCCTCACAGTCCGGCGGCGCGCTCGGTCGGTAACCCGGAGGGAGGCCTCGGCCGGCGCGGCCCCGCGAGCCGACGTGTGCCCCGCCGCCGCCGGACCGCACGGCGCCGCCGCCGGATCGGGCGGTCCTCTCCCGGCGCCACTCACCGTGTGCCCCGCCACCGCCGGCCTGCACGGCGCCGCCGCCGGGCCGGGCGGTCCTCCCCCGCCGCCACTCACGTGGAACATGGCGAACGTGAGCGGCGGCTGGCCGTCGTTGGCCGCGATCACCTCGGCCGGGTCCCGAGCGTGTGCGAGATGCGCCTCGATGACGTCGACGCCGTCTGCTGGCACCAGGCGCGAACGCGGTCGGTCGCGCGAACCGCCCACACCGGCTCGCAGTCCTGCGGAGCGCGTGCGGGCGTCCATCTGGCCGCAGCGGGAGGGGAAAGGAGGGGAAGGGGGGGGGGGGGGGCGCGGCGGCGCAAGCCGGCCGTCACACACACGTGAGCCGCGAGGGGTTTCTCGCGTCCACAAAACGTCAGCGCCCGTAATCGGTCGCGCTTAGCGTGGGGCGACGTTAGAGGACAGGATGGACCGTGCCGAGCATTGCGGCACATTGGGCTTTCGCTGCAATGCCGTTGACCCGGCATTTCACGGCTGGGAAGCGAGGTTAAGATTCATGCGACCGGCCCTTCTTCGCGGGGACGCTGATCCCATCAATCTATCAATTGAAGCTTCGACAAATACTTGAAAAATCGCTTCAGACGGCGTAACCACGACACAGCAAAACCGCACTCGCCTTGGAACCACCGAGACACGCACCCCGCCGTGCCGCGCGAGCCACTCACTACGCTGTTCAAGTCCGGGGTTGGGGCCGGGGCCGGGGCTGACCTGCTCGAAGCTCAGATGGGTCATGCCGTAGTCGGCCCGGAACATGTTCAGCACGTCCACGGGGTCGCCGCGCGCCGTCACCAGGCGGCCGCCGTACGCCGCCAGCTGGTCGTCCAGGTCCTCCAGCGACTCCAGCAGGAACTTGAGCCGGTTGTATCCGATCAGTCGCGTGCCTGAGGACCCTCTCACAGCTCAGCGCGCTGAGGTGGCCGCGGTGGGACGTGTCTGCCACCCATGCTTGCGACTCGCTGCTTGGTGTGCGGATGTCGAGCAGCGATGCCGCGACTCGCTGCTTGGTGTGCGGATGTCAAACGGCAATGTCGCGACTCGATACTTAGTGTGGAGACGTCGAACAGCGATGAAACGCCCATTGTGCAGCACTTAAAGTAATATATGCATACACACAGTTTCAAATGCAAGGTATCACGTTACTTCCATCCATGAAAAATCCTGAAGTGACACCATAGGATTAACCCGTGGA